CAGTTCCTGTGGACTGAACCAAAACTGGACCAAAGCTGAACCAAAACTGAACCAAAACTGAACCAAAACTGGACCAAAACTGAACCAAAACTGGACCAAAACTGAACCAAAACTGGACCAAAACTGAACCAAAACTGGACCAAAACTGAACCAAAACTGGACCAAAACAACTGGACCAAAACTGAACCAAAACTGGACCAAAACTGAACCAAAACTGGACCAAAACTGGACCAAAACTGGACCAAAACTGGACAAAAACTCGACCAAAACTGAACCAAATCTGGACCAAAACTGGACCAAAACTGGACCAAAACTGAACCAAAACTGGACCAAAACTGGACCAAAACTGGACAAAAACTGGACCAAAACTGGACTAAAACTTGACCAAAACTGGACCAAAACTGAACCAAAACTGGACCAAAACTGAACCAAATCTGGACCAAAACTGGACCAAAGCTGGACCAAAGCTGAATCAAAGCTGAACCAAAACTGGACCAAAACTGGACAAAAACTGGACCAAAACTGGACCAAAGCTGAACCAAAACTGGACCAAATATTGAAGGTATATCGGATAATGTTCTACTTCCCGGTGGATCATCAAGACTATAGGTTCTCGTGATTGTCAATCATTCTGGTGATTCGTGTTCGTCCAATAAGACCAGAGATTTTTGTTCAAAAAGTGGAGAGGGCGGTTCTTTTCAAAGAAAATTCAGAAATGTAATTGAAGAAAAAACTTAATAATAACTTCTAATAACATGTTGGCTTAATATTTCTTTTGGAATTAAATTTTATGGTTGTTTTTTTGAGAAAATGTGTAATGGATAACATGCCCTTGTCGCCTATTGCCATCAATGCTGATATTTAATATAATAATTTTAATATCATCTCAGGGGCCACAGGAAATGGTCTCGCGGGCCTTGACTTTGACACCTGTGCTGTAGACCACAGACTGTAAATATTAAAGACCTTATGCCGGGTTTGAAAAACAAAAAATAGTGGATATCAAAATTGCATGACAATGTCGATCTGAAAGAGATTCTGGCAAAAAAAATCCTATATTTTATAAAAAGAACGTGTTTTTCATGAATTTAAGTTGTCTATGCTCTAACCTGTGTGTGACGTCATAGCGGGTTACGCCCATGCATTGAAAACCATGGATCTATGCCACAGGACTGCCTTTTCTCTCTTCTCTCCACTGATGCCCAACACAATACTGCCCTCTACAGGTGACAGTTGCTCACTACACATAAATTGCCGTTTGAGAGTGAAAATGTGTCTGCGGTGGGATTTGAACCCAAGTATCTGGATTGGCAGTCCATCAACACAACCACTGGACTATCTCAGTGACAATGAAGTGTTACATTCTAGTAGTTATCTTAGACTCGCTGTACACGGCCTTGTCATCTTGAATATCCGCGAAAAAAGAACGAATACCAAATTGTAAACAACTTACAGCGTTGAAACGTACCCGTTCTGACGTCACCAAGGGCTGTGAAGTTTTTTTGTTTCTAAGGGCGTTGCTATGGGGTTATTTCGATTTGGGGGGATCAGACAAAAAAAACAACAACTGATTTTGAAACCTTTAGTAGTTCTCTTCTAATATAAAATGGTATTAAAACTGTATTTCTAAATAAATCAAACCCGGCATAAGGTCTTTAACAGACGAAGTCACGCCTACCTCCGCCGTTCTAACTCATGTGCCACAACTTCTGCGGTCTATGGGCAGTTTTAAAATGGAAAATGTGAAAAAACACATCTGGGCATGCGTCAGCTGCACAAGATCAAGATTTGTTTATTTTTGTCTCCTTTAGGAGAGATTTGGTTTGGACTGATGGGTCGGCTACATTTCAGTACAAAAAAAAACATTCATACAAAGACACCAACAGACGTGCTGCTCACACACACTTCATCTCCTCATGTCCTTATTTAACAGATTCACTGAAACAGGATGAATGAGTTCTTAAAGCGATTGAGTCGGCACCGAGGCACTATGTACCTCCTCCTGGTCTGTCTCCTCCTGGTCTGTCTCCTCCTGGTCTGTCTCCTCATGGTCTGTCTCCTGGTCTGTCTCCTCATGGTCTGTCTCCTCCTGGTCTGTCTCCTCATGGTATGTCTCCTCATGGTCTGTCTCCTCCTGGTCTGTCTCCTCATGGTCTGTCTCCTCCTGGTCTGTCTCCTCATGGTCTGTCTCCTCCTGGTCTGTCTCCTCCTGGTCTGTCTCCTCATGGTCTGTCTCTTCCTGGTCTGTCTCCTCCTGGTCGGTCCTCCTCCTGGTCTGTCTCCTCCTGGTCTGTCTCCTCATGGTCTGTCTCCTCATGGTCTGTCTCCTCCTGGTCTGTCTCCTCCTGGTCTGTCTCCTCCTGGTCTGTCTCCTCATGGTCTGTCTCCTCCTGGTCTGTCTCCTCATGGTCTGTCTCCTCCTGGTCTGTCTCCTCCTGGTCTGTCTCCTCATGGTCTGTCTCCTGGTCTGTCTCCTCCTGGTCTGTCTCCTGGTCTGTCTCCTCATGGTCTGTCTCCTCCTGGTCTGTCTCCTCCTGGTCTGTCTCCTCCTGGTCTGTCTCCTCCTGGTCTGTCTCCTCCTGGTCTGTCTCCTCCTGGTCTGTCTCCTCATGGTCTGTCTCCTCCTGGTCTGTCTCCTCATGGTCTGTCTCCTCCTGGTCTGTCTCCTCCTGGTCTGTCTCCTCCTGGTCTGTCTCCTCTGGTCTGTCTCCTCATGGTCTGTCTCCTCATGGTCTGTCTCCTCATGGTCTGTCTCCTGGTCTGTCTCCTCCTGGTCTGTCTCCTCATGGTCTGTCTCCTCCTGGTCTGTCTCCTCCTGGTCTGTCTCCTCCTGGTCTGTCTCCTCCTGGTCTGTCTCCTCATGGTCTGTCTCCTGGTCTGTCTCCTCCTGGTCTGTCTCCTCATGGTCTGTCTCCTCCTGGTCTGTCTCCTCATGGTCTGTCTCCTCATGGTCTGTCTCCTCATGGTCTGTCTCCTCATGGTCTGTCTCCTCCTGGTCTGTCTCCTCCTGCTCTGTCTCCTCATGGTCTGTCTCCTCATGGTATGTCTCCTCCTGGTCTGTCTCCTCCTGGTCTGTCTCCTCCTGGTCTGTCTCCTCCTGGTCTGTCTCCTCATGGTCTGTCTCCTCCTGGTCTGTCTCCTCATGGTCTGTCTCCTCCTGGTCTGTCTCCTCATGGTCTGTCTCCAAATGGTCTGTCTCCTCCTGGTCTGTCTCCTCCTGGTCTGTCTCCTCATGGTCTGTCTCCTGGTCTGTCTCCTCCTGGTCTGTCTCCTCATGGTCTGTCTCCTCCTGGTCTGTCTCCTCATGGTCTGTCTCCTCATGGTCTGTCTCCTCATGGTCTGTCTCCTCCTGGTCTGTCTCCTCCTGGTCTGTCTCCTCCTGGTCTGTCTCCTCATGGTCTGTCTCCTCCTGGTCTATCTCCTCCTGGTCTGTCTCCTCCTGGTCTGTCTCCTCATGGTCTGTCTCCTCATGGTCTGTCTCCTCCTGGTCTGTCTCCTCCTGGTCTGTCTCCTCATGGTCTGTCTCCTCCTGGTCTGTCGCCTCATGGTCTGTCTCCTCCTGGTCTGTCTCCTCATGGTCTGTCTCCTCCTGGTCTGTCTCCTCCTGGTATGTCTCCTCCTGGTCTGTCTCCTCCTGGTCTGTCTCCTCATGGTCTGTCTCCTCCTGGTCTGTCTCCTCATGGTCTGTCTCCTCCTGGTCTGTCTCCTCATGGTCTGTCTCCTCCTGGTCTGTCTCCTGGTCTGTCTCCTCCTGGTCTGTCTCCTCCTGGTCTGTCTCCTCATGGTCTGTCTCCTCATGGTCTGTCTCCTGGTCTGTCTCCTCCTGGTCTGTCTCCTCCTGGTCTGTCTCCTCATGGTCTGTCTCCTCATGGTCTGTCTCCTCCTGGTCTGTCTCCTCCTGGTCTGTCTCCTCCTGGTCTGTCTCCTCCTGGTCTGTCTCCTCCTGGTCTGTCTCCTCCTGGTCTGTCTCCTGGTCTGTCTCCTCCTGGTCTGTCTCCTCATGGTCTGTCTCCTCCTGGTCTGTCTCCTCCTGGTCTGTCTCCTCCTGGTCTGTCTCCTCATGTCTGTCTGTCTCCTCCTGGTCTGTCTCCTCCTGGTCTGTCTCCTCCTGGTCTGTCTCCTCATGGTCTGTCTCCTCCTGGTCTGTCTCCTCCTGGTCTGTCTCCTCATGGTCTGTCTCCAAATGGTCTGTCTCCTCATGGTCTGTCTCCTCCTGGTCTGTCTCCTCCTGGTCTGTCTCCTCCTGGTCTGTCTCCTCATGGTCTGTCTCCTCCTGGTCTGTCTCCTCATGGTCTGTCTCCTCCTGGTCTGTCTCCTCCTGGTCTGTCTCCTCATGGTCTGTCTCCTCATGGTCTGTCTCCTCCTGGTCTGTCTCCTCCTGGTCTGTCTCCAAATGGTCTGTCTCCTCCTGGTCTGTCTCCTGGTCTGTCTCCTCATGGTCTGTCTCCTCATGGTCTGTCTCCTCCTGGTCTGTCTCCTCCTGGTCTGTCTCCTCATGGTCTGTCTCCTCATGGTCTGTCTCCTCCTGGTCTGTCTCCTCCTGGTCTGTCTCCTCATGGTCTGTCTCCTCCTGGTCTGTCTCCTCCTGGTCTGTCTCCTCATGGTCTGTCTCCTCCTGGTCTGTCTCCTCATGGTCTGTCTCCTCATGGTCTGTCTCCTGGTCTGTCTCCTCCTGGTCTGTCTCCTCCTGGTCTGTCTCCTCCTGGTCTGTCTCCTCATGGTCTGTCTCCTCATGGTCTGTCTCCTCATGGTCTGTCTCCTCCTGGTCTGTCTCCTCCTGGTCTGTCTCCTCCTGGTCTGTCTCCTGGTCTGTCTCCTCCTGGTCTGTCTCCTCCTGGTCTGTCTCCTCCTGGTCTGTCTCCTCATGGTCTGTCTCCTCCTGGTCTGTCTCCTCCTGGTCTGTCTCCTCATGGTCTGTCTCCGCATGGTCTGTCTCCTCCTGGTATGTCTCCTCATGGTATGTCTCCTCCTGGTCTGTCTCCTCCTGCTCTGTTCCTCCTGGTCTGTCTCCTCCTGGTCTGTCTCCTCCTGGTCTGTCTCCTCCTGGTCTGTCTCCTCATGGTCTGTCTCCTCATGGTCTGTCTCCTCCTGGTATGTCTCCTCATGGTATGTCTCCTCCTGGTCTGTCTCCTCCTGCTCTGTCTCCTCCTGGTCTGTCTCCTCCTGGTCTGTCTCCTCCTGGTCTGTCTCCTCATGGTCTGTCTCCTCCTGGTCTGTCTCCTCCTGGTCTGTCTCCTCCTGGTCTGTCTCCTCATGGTCTGTCTCCTCATGGTCTGTCTCCTCATGGTCTGTCTCCTCCTGGTCTGTCTCCTCCTGGTCTGTCTCCTCCTGGTCTGTCTCCTGGTCTGTCTCCTCCTGGTCTGTCTCCTCCTGGTCTGTCTCCTCCTGGTCTGTCTCCTCCTGGTCTGTCTCCTCATGGTCTGTCTCCTCCTGGTCTGTCTCCTCCTGGTCTGTCTCCTCCTGGTCTGTCTCCTCCTGGTCTGTCTCCTCATGGTCTGTCTCCTCATGGTCTGTCTCCTCCTGGTATGTCTCCTCATGGTATGTCTCCTCCTGGTCTGTCTCCTCCTGCTCTGTCTCCTCCTGGTCTGTCTCCTCCTGGTCTGTCTCCTCCTGGTCTGTCTCCTCCTGGTCTGTCTCCTCATGGTCTGTCTCCTCCTGGTCTGTCTCCTCATGGTCTGTCTCCTCCTGGTCTGTCTCCTCATGGTCTGTCTCCTCATGGTCTGTCTCCTCCTGGTCTGTCTCCTGGTCTGTCTCCTCCTGGTCTGTCTCCTGGTCTGTCTCCTCCTGGTCTGTCTCCTCCTGGTCTGTCTCCTCCTGGTCTGTCTCCTCCTGGTCTATCTCCTCCTGGTCTGTCTCCTCCTGGTCTGTCTCCTCCTGGTCTGTCTCCTCCTGGTCTGTCTCCTCCTGGTCTGTCTCCTCATGGTCTGTCTCCTCCTGGTCTGTCTCCTCCTGGTCTGTCTCCTCCTGGTCTATCTCCTCCTGGTCTGTCTCCTCCTGGTCTGTCTCCTCCTGGTCTGTCTCCTCATGGTCTGTCTCCTCCTGGTCTGTCTCCTCATGGTCTGTCTCCTCCTGGTCTGTCTCCTCATGGTCTGTCTCCTCCTGGTCTGTCTCCTCCTGGTCTGTCTCCTCATGGTCTGTTCCTCATGGTCTGTCTCCTCATGGTCTGTCTCCTCCTGGTCTGTCTCCTGGTCTGTCTCCTCCTGGTCTGTCTCCTCCTGGTCTGTCTCCTCCTGGTCTGTCTCCTCCTGGTCTGTCTCCTCCTGGTCTGTCTCCTCCTGGTCTGTCTCCTCCTGGTCTGTCTCCTCCTGGTCTGTCTCCTCCTGGTCTGTCTCCTCCTGGTCTGTCTCCTCCTGGTCTGTCTCCTCCTGGTCTGTCTCCTCCTGGTCTGTCTCCTCTGGTCTGTCTCCTCATGGTCTGTCTCCTCATGGTCTCTGTCTGTCCTCCTGGTCTGTCTCCTCCTGGTCTGTCTCCTCCTGGTCTGTCTCCTGGTCTGTCTCCTCCTGGTCTGTCTCCTCCTGGTCTGTCTCCTCCTGGTCTGTCTCCTCCTGGTCTGTCTCCTCATGGTCTGTCTCCTCCTGGTCTGTCTCCTCCTGGTCTGTCTCCTCCTGGTCTGTCTCCTCCTGGTCTGTCTCCTCATGGTCTGTCTCCTCATGGTCTGTCTCCTCCTGGTATGTCTCCTCATGGTATGTCTCCTCCTGGTCTGTCTCCTCCTGCTCTGTCTCCTCCTGGTCTGTCTCCTCCTGGTCTGTCTCCTCCTGGTCTGTCTCCTCCTGGTCTGTCTCCTCATGGTCTGTCTCCTCCTGGTCTGTCTCCTCATGGTCTGTCTCCTCCTGGTCTGTCTCCTCATGGTCTGTCTCCTCATGGTCTGTCTCCTCCTGGTCTGTCTCCTGGTCTGTCTCCTCCTGGTCTGTCTCCTGGTCTGTCTCCTCCTGGTCTGTCTCCTCCTGGTCTGTCTCCTCCTGGTCTGTCTCCTCCTGGTCTATCTCCTCCTGGTCTGTCTCCTCCTGGTCTGTCTCCTCCTGGTCTGTCTCCTCCTGGTCTGTCTCCTCCTGGTCTGTCTCCTCATGGTCTGTCTCCTCCTGGTCTGTCTCCTCCTGGTCTGTCTCCTCCTGGTCTATCTCCTCCTGGTCTGTCTCCTCCTGGTCTGTCTCCTCCTGGTCTGTCTCCTCATGGTCTGTCTCCTCCTGGTCTGTCTCCTCATGGTCTGTCTCCTCCTGGTCTGTCTCCTCATGGTCTGTCTCCTCATGGTCTGTCTCCTCCTGGTCTGTCTCCTCATGGTCTGTCTCCTCATGGTCTGTCTCCTCCTGGTCTGTCTCCTGGTCTGTCTCCTCCTGGTCTGTCTCCTGGTCTGTCTCCTCCTGGTCTGTCTCCTCCTGGTCTGTCTCCTCCTGGTCTGTCTCCTCCTGGTCTGTCTCCTCCTGGTCTGTCTCCTCCTGGTCTGTCTCCTCCTGGTCTGTCTCCTCCTGGTCTGTCTCCTCCTGGTCTGTCTCCTCCTGGTCTGTCTCCTCCTGGTCTATCTCCTGGTCTGTCTCCTCCTGGTCTGTCTCCTCATGGTCTGTCTCCTCCTGGTCTGTCTCCTCCTGGTCTGTCTCCTCCTGGTCTGTCTCCTCCTGGTCTGTCTCCTCCTGGTCTGCCTCCTCCTGGTCTGTCTCCTCCTGGTCTGTCTCCTCCTGGTCTGTCTCCTCCTGGTCTGTCTCCTCCTGGTCTGTCTCCTCATGGTCTGTCTCCTCATGGTCTGTCTCCTCATGGTCTGTCTCCTCCTGGTCTGTCTCCTCCTGGTCTGTCTCCTCCTGGTCTGTCTCCTCCTGGTCTGTCTCCTCCTGGTCTGTCTCCTCCTGGTCTGTCTCCTCCTGGTCTATCTCCTCCTGGTCTGTCTCCTCCTGGTCTGTCTCCTCCTGGTCTGTCTCCTCCTGGTCTGTCTCCTCCTGGTCTGTCTCCTCCTGGTCTGTCTCCTCCTGGTCTGTCTCCTCCTGGTCTATCTCCTGGTCTGTCTCCTCATGGTCTGTCTCCTCCTGGTCTGTCTCCTCCTGGTCTGTCTCCTCCTGGTCTGTCTCCTCCTGGTCTGTCTCCTCCTGGTCTGTCTCCTCCTGGTCTGTCTCCTCCTGGTCTGTCTCCTCCTGGTCTATCTCCTGGGGGCCAAGAGGGACAGGCGTGCCCATGATTTTCCCAGCGGTTTTAAACAAGTTGATTATTTGTGTTTGGATTTAACAAAGCAGCTGTAATCCCGTAGCTCAGCAGTGATTGGTGGATGCTCTGTAGAAGCAGAGCATGATGGTCTTTGACACCGAACAGTCTGAGTCTGTGCAGGAAGTGGAGGCGCTGATGGATCCTGCTGCAGTCGTCACAGAATCCATGGCACGAGCTCCATTCATTCAAACGAGAGACGTCTAAAGTCCACAGCGACTAAACTAGACTGGTCCAGAACACTCAGCATTGACACACATGTGGAACGGAGCTTTGGGCCAAGAGCCAACTTTTGGACCATCCTGTAAAGACGTTTTCCAGAGGTCTGCTAATGCTATATGTTAGCATTGGCTAATTCTACTTCCGGGTCCACCCCAACAGGCCCGGGGTGGTATTGCAGCATGTCAGCGCACGTCATTTTGGCCACTTTTGAGCCGGGACCCGCCCACACTGGTCCAGACCCAGGACTGAGTTTAAGTTTGTCTTAATTGACTTGAGTCTTGTTTAAATAGAACAAATATTATTGTAACAATCTCTCGCCTCGGCACTTCTCCGGTGTCAGCGTGTGAATGTGTGGAGCTGTCGGCCATCTTGTGTGTGGTCTCCCTTCACCTTTGACCTCTCTTAGCTCCTGATTTCTCCATGATCCAAATCTAATCATGAGTCTGAAGAATGGAAACAGATGCTGCGAGAAAACAACTGTTCTGGAAGTCTGTATTTAAAAAGTTGGTACGAAGGGGACGATCTACAGCCTCAGTCCTGGGTCTACAGCCTCAGTCCTGGATCTACAGCCTCAGTCCTGGGTCTACAGCCTCAGTCCTGGGTCTACAGCCTCAGTCCTGGGTCTACAGCCTCAGTCCTGGGTCTACAGCCTCAGTCCTGGGTCTACAGCCTCAGTCCTGGGTCTACAGCCTCAGTCCTGGGTCTACAGCCTCAGTCCTGGGTCTACAGCCTCAGTCCTGGGTCTACAGCCTCAGTCCTGGGTCTACAGCCTCAGTCCTGGATCTACAGCCTCAGTCCTGGGTCTACAGCCTCAGTCCTGGGTCTACAGCCTCAGTCCTGGGTCTACAGCCTGAGTCCTGGGTCTACAGCCTCAGTCCTGGGTCTACAGCCTCAGTCCTGGATCTACAGCCTCAGTCCTGGGTCTACAGCCTCAGTCCTGGTGGGTCTACAGCCTCAGTCCTGGGTCTACAGCCTCAGTCCTGGGTCTACAGCCTCAGTCCTGGGTCTACAGCCTCAGTCCTGGGTCTACAGCCTCAGTCCTGGGTCTACAGCCTCAGTCCTGGGTCTACAGCCTCAGTCCTGGGTCTACAGCCTCAGTCCTGGGTCTACAGCCTCAGTCCTGGATCTACAGCCTCAGTCCTGGGTCTACAGCCTCAGTCCTGGGTCTACAGCCTCAGTCCTGGGTCTACAGCCTGAGTCCTGGGTCTACAGCCTCAGTCCTGGGTCTACAGCCTCAGTCCTGGGTCTACAGCCTCAGTCCTGGGTCTACAGCCTGAGTCCTGGGTCTACAGCCTCAGCCCTGGGTCTACAGCCTCAGCCCTGGGTCTACAGCCTCAGTCCTGGGTCTACAGCCTCAGTCCTGGGTCTACAGCCTCAGTCCTGGGTCTACAGCCTCAGCCTGGGTCTACAGCCTCAGTCCTGGGTCTACAGCCTCAGTCCTGGGTCTACAGCCTCAGTCCTGGGTCTACAGCCTCAGTCCTGGGTCTACAGCCTCAGTCCTGGGTCTACAGCCTAGTCCTGGGTCTACAGCCTCAGCCCTGGGTCTACAGCCTCAGTCCTGGGTCTACAGCCTCAGTCCTGGGTCTACAGCCTCAGTCCTGGGTCTACAGCCTCAGTCCTGGGTCTACAGCCTCAGTCCTGGGTCTACAGCCTCAGTCCTGGGTCTACAGCCTCAGTCCTGGGTCTACAGCCTCAGTCCTGGGTCTACAGCCTCAGTCCTGGGTCTACAGCCTCAGCCTGGGTCTACAGCCTCAGTCCTGGGTCTACAGCCTCAGTCCTGGGTCTACAGCCTCAGTCCTGGGTCTACAGCCTCAGTCCTGGGTCTACAGCCTCAGTCCTGGGTCTACAGCCTCAGTCCTGGGTCTACAGCCTCAGTCCTGGGTCTACAGCCTCAGTCCTGGGTCTACAGCCTCAGTCCTGGGTCTACAGCCTCAGTCCTGGGTCTACAGCCTCAGTCCTGGGTCTACAGCCTCAGTCCTGGGTCTACAGCCTCAGTCCTGGGTCTACAGCCTCAGTCCTGTACGGTACAAACATTAAAACATACATTTCTTTGACCCAGACCCAGGGGAGACCGAGCTGTGATGATCTCACCTAACAACATCACGCCGTGCGGCATGAAGAGGTGCATTGTGGGAGCGTTTACAGCCGCGTTCGCACAAAGCCCGTCTCTGTCTGCGAAGCCAAGACTCGCGGAAATCCTGCCAAAGGTCCCGGCGGGGGGTACACGTGTTAACCACCCCACCCCCATCAGGCCCCAAGGCACCCGCCACTACAGCAGAGACCAGAGCGAGACCGAGGGCTGCCTCAAAGAGCGACACGGGGTTGAAAGACACGGTTCAGATTCATTTTTACTCTTAACACTAGAAGTTGTTAGTTTTGAAGCTGAACTTACTCTGCGAATGTACATTAGTGGTTTACTTCAAGGTGAAATGTGGGCTTGGTTCTCTACCAGGACAGGGCGGGGGCTAGTTACCATAGCAACACGCTGTTTACATGCTAGCAGTTAGCATTCGAACACTTCTCACATGACTGTTGCCGTATTTCAGTTATTTTAACCAGTTTTTTTGCACTTATTAAAGTCAGTGAAGGTAAAACACTTGAAAATTAACTTAAAATTTGACTGATTTGAAAGAGAGAAGTCAAAATGGCGGCTCTGAGAAGTTTCAGAATTCTGGGAGTTTGTTGTAAGTAAGAAGTAAGTAAGTCATGTTTATTTATACAGCGCATTTTACAGAGCAAGGTCACCCGAAGCGCTTTACAATGTTCAGATTCCAGATACTGTTCCGATCCTTCCACACACGCTCATGTTGTGTTAAACATGAGCTGGAGAAGATTTGAGAATGTTGACTATGAAACTGTGGAATCTAAACTTTTTGATGAATAAAACATGTTTGTCCCCAACAGAAAGAGTAAAAGTAACATGTCGTGAACAAATCAGAGCGAACAGACTCAACGGGCGTGAATCTGCAGCCAAATGTGTGGGTAGCAACGACCTAGCAACGAAAGAGCCAATCAGGAGAGGCGCTGGGCTGTCCTCTGCTAGCACAACTCGCTAAAGCTACATTTGGGGATAGAAAGCCCTACTGTTGAGATTTAGGACGACACAAAAATAAATTGACATTAATCGTGGTCATAAGTATTTGTCTGGGAGTAATTAAGTAAACTACTCCTACTCAGAAATACATAAATATTACCAAGAGCCTGAAACATGTGGAATACCTGTGTTTTTGTTACCGGTAGAAAACCTGAAACCACAGAGTCCTGAAAGACGACAGAAGGAATCAGAGGAACCAGAGGAACCAGAGGAACCAGAGGACTCTGTCTGACTGTGTTCTTCTGCCACCGTCGAAAATACACTGCAAAAAGTGACGGAAATGAAAGTCTATCTTAACCCTTCACTGGTTTGCTCTTTCCACTTTCTGAGTCACTTTATCCACTAAACTAAACATGGAACTAAAATCTACCTCATGGTTCCGTCTCTATCACCTGGTTTTTGCCACTTTTTTCACCAAACGGCATCTCACACATTTTGTAGTGGCGTCATTAAAAAACTCATTATCTTAAAAAACCAAAAACAATATTTGACATTGCTTAAATTTCTTCCAGGAGTGAACGTTAATGGGTTAATTTATACACATTTTAACTGCTATAAAACATGTCTCTCTTGGAATGAGGAAATGTCTTTTGTCCCGTTGGAGAATCTTAGTGCTCAGATTAACCTCTTAAACTCCTGCATCTGCTTTGGCTCGTGCACAAACCCAAATGTCTTTGCTTATTTAAAAACACATCTTACATCTCACAGGTTTGTGTGATGCATCATTTTAAAGCTAGGTCCTTCTAGTTTATGTAAATATACACTGGAATAATGTATGTCACTCCTATTTTACTCTGCATCCTTTGAAGTTTGCCTCGCCTAAAAAATTCAATGTATAAATGCCCTAAAAAAGCCGACTTCATTGGAAGAAGAAAATGTTCAATGCTAATTTGTTCATTGTGTTGTTGACAACAACTGTGTAAAGTTTCAGACTTCTAAGTTTTATAGTTTTTATGCAGTTTCTCTTTTTTATCAAGTAGTGCCATTCAGAACCAAATTTCCTCATCATAAAAAGCATATTTTTTAGTTTTGGTACTTATAAGTTACAAATCTGTGTGATTCTCTTTTACATCTTATCAAAATTATTTTTTTAGTGTAAATGCATATAAAATATGCGCAGCAGAACTAACAGCGTCTTTGCGCACGCTTTTACTGTGAAAATGAGAAGAGTTCCTACAAGTCCCGCCCATCAAAAGAAAGCTCTTTTTATTGGCTACTGAGACACGTCAATCATTCAGCCATAGCACAGAGGGCACTGTCCGGTTTCCGAAATGTGATAAAAATAGCTCCGATGACTGCGCATGTTTGGGACAAACTCTGTCCGACTCCGTTGAGTTCTACTGTGTTCTCCACATAAGCGTGTGTATTTATTTGGGCTAAATCACTGAATCATGGTGACAACAAAACACTGCAGTTATGCTGCTTGTCCGAGCGATTCCAGATACTCTGAAAAGGACTATATGAAAGTAACATTCAACCTGTTTGTTAAACCATCGAACCAGACCAGGACCAGACCAGGACCAGACCAGGACCAGACCAGGACCATTGCAAGAGGTGGGTGTTTGTGGTCGGTAGAATTTCTCTCATGAAAATGTTAAAAAGGACTCATATTTGTTCAGAACACTTGGTCTGTGAAGTTGGACCAACTGGAGCCTCCAGGTCCAGTCCTAGCTACGTTTAGCTGGGACTGGACCTGGACCTGGACCTGGACCTGGACCTAGACCTGGACCGTCTGGACCGTCTGGATCAGGTCCGTCTGAGCTCTTCTGAATGTAGTTAGCACAAACTTTCTCTTTATACCATTTACCCTATCAATCCATATTAGTTTGTCCTAATCCAGAAAGTTTACAATTCTCACACCTGAAGAAAGATGAGAGGGATTTTTTCAACTTCGTGACTATCGGTAAAGAAGTTCAGACGAAGCTCGTCGGGGTCCGCTTATTATACTGCTTTGTACGAACTGAACACACAAAATAAACTTCAGTCACTTTTATTCATGCTCAAATGGATGCAGTTTGTCTTTTTCACGAGGGTCCTGTGGACTGAAACCTGCTCCTTTCTCTTCATAGAACCTCTCTTTCTGTAGCTAACAGGTCAGGGAACACGAGGACATCCTGTTTTTGGGGGTAATGTAAAGGCGAAATGTAAAAGAGCAGTCTGAACCTCTTTCGGAGCATTTTTTTTGTTGCAAAAGATAAACGCACATTCTTTTTCCATGTACATTAACGGTGAGAAAGAGACTAAGCAAATATGGGGAAAGTCTAATTTGTTGGAGCAGCAGAAGTCGAAAGGTAAGTCACTTTTACAAACATGATTTATTTTGTGCCCGACTTTGGTCTCTGCTCCTCCTGGACCAAAGCCTCTGTTTTTCCTCTGATCCGTGTAAACTCCTCCGCGGTAACGACTGTTGTGATAAATTGTTTTGAATTGAAGTGAATTGGATCCATTTTGCACAACATTCTTCCTCTTTAACACCAGCTCTCAACTGTGTCTTTCTGTTTGGCTTTGAAATCCACAATCTCTGTCAGTCGGCCGCTAATTATGCTGCGTGACGCGGCATTCTCCGTGGGCTGGAAGTGGAGGGGGGGGGGGGGGGGGGGGGGGGGGGGGGGGGGGGGGGGGGGGGGGGGGGGGGGGGGGGGGGGGGGGGGGGGGGGGGGGGGGGGGGGGGGGGGGGGGGGGGGGGGGGGGGGGGGGGGGGGGGGGGGGGGGGGGGGGGGGGGGGGGGGGGGGGGGGGGGGGGGGGGGGGGGGGGGGGGGGGGGGGGGGGGGGGGGGGGGGGGGGGGGGGGGGGGGGGGGGGGGGGGGGGGGGGGGGGGGGGGGGGGGGGGGGGGGGGGGGGGGGGGGGGGGGGGGGGGGGGGGGGGGGGGGGGGGGGGGGGGGGGGGGGGGGGGGGGGGGGGGGGGGGGGGGGGGGGGGGGGGGGGGGGGGGGGGGGGGGGGGGGGGGGGGGGGGGGGGGGGGGGGGGGGGGGGGGGGGGGGGGGGGGGGGGGGGGGGGGGGGGGGGGGGGGGGGGGGGGGGGGGGGGGGGGGGGGGGGGGGGGGGGGGGGGGGGGGGGGGGGGGGGGGGGGGGGGGGGGGGGGGGGGGGGGGGGGGGGGGGGGGGGGGGGGGGGGGGGGGGGGGGGGGGGGGGGGGGGGGGGGGGGGGGGGGGGGGGGGGGGGGGGGGGTGGGGGGGGGGGGGGGGGGGGGGGGGGGGGGGGGGGGGGGGGGGGGGGGGGGGGGGGGGGGGGGGGGGGGGGGGGGGGGGGGGGGGGGGGGGGGGGGGGGGGGGGGGGGGGGGGGGGGGGGGGGGGGGGGGGGGGGGGGGGGGGGGGGGGGGGGGGGGGGGGGGGGGGGGGGGGGGGGGGGGGGGGGGGGGGGGGGGGGGGGGGGGGGGGGGGGGGGGGGGGGGGGGGGGGGGGGGGGGGGGGGGGGGGGGGGGGGGGGGGGGGGGGGGGGGGGGGGGGGGGGGGGGGGGGGGGGGGGGGGGGGGGGGGGGGGGGGGGGGGGGGGGGGGGGGGGGGGGGGGGGGGGGGGGGGGGGGGGGGGGGGGGGGGGGGGGGGGGGGGGGGGGGGGGGGGGGGGGGGGGGGGGGGGGGGGGGGGGGGGGGGGGGGGGGGGGGGGGGGGGGGGGGGGGGGGGGGGGGGGGGGGGGGGGGGGGGGGGGGGGGGGGGGGGGGGGGGGGGGGGGGGGGGGGGGGGGGGGGGGGGGGGGGGGGGTGGGGGGGGGGGGGGGGGGGGGGGGGGGGGGGGGGGGGGGGGGGGGGGGGGGGGGGGGGGGGGGGGGGGGGGGGGGGGGGGGGGGGGTGGGGGGGGGGTGGGGGGGGGGGGGGGGGGGGGGGGGGGGGGGGGGGGGGGGGGGGTGGGGGGGGGGGGGGGGGGGGGGGGGGGGGGGGGGGGGGGGGGGGGGGGGGGGGGGGGGGGGGGGGGGGGGTGGAGGTGGTGTGGAGGTGGTGTGGAGGTGGTGTGGAGGTGGAGGTGGGGTGGAGGTGGAGGTGGTGTGGAGGTGGTGTGGAAGTGGTGTGGAGGTGGTGTGGAGGTGGTGTGGAGGTGGTGTGGAGGTGGTGTGGAGGTGAAGTGGAGGTGGAGGTGAAGTGGAGGTGGAGGTGAAGTGGAGGTAGAGGTGAAGTGGAGGTGGAGGTGAAGTGGAGGTGGAGGTGGTGTGGAGGTGGGGTGGAGGTGGAGGCGGAGGTGGAGGTGGAGGTGGTGTGGAGGTGGAGGTGAAGTGGAGGTGGAGGTGATGCGGAGGTGGAGGTGGAGGTGGAGGTGGAGGTGGTGTGGAGGTGGTGTGGAGGTGGAGGTGGAGGTGGAGGTGGTGTGGAGGTGGTGTGGAGGTGGAGGTGGAGGTGGAGGTGGAGGTGGAGGTGGCGTTCAGGGATGTAAACAATCCCAGACCAATGCCATAAACTGTGGATAACAGATGTTGTCCTGAGGAGGTCGTCCACAGAACTCAGAGGTTTTCTTTGGGAAAGTTCTAACACAGATCCCAGTGAGTCACTATCGGAGGCTTTGGGGTTAGACGTCTTTGTCCACTTCTCTGTCTGATCTAAATATGTTAAAAATACTTTACTTTCTTCTGAAAACTAGACCTAACTTTTGAATGACCCGGTTCTGATGGAGGTCACTGACCCGGTTCTGATGGAGGTCACTGACTGACCCGGTTCTGATGGAGGTCACTGACCCGGTTCTGATGGAGGTCACGCAGCACAGACTAATCTGAAAGGACTTCTCTGTGGAACTAGTTTAAAAGTATTAAAGTAGTAAAGTATTTAGCTCCAGTCGAGGCTCAGACCCAGAAGAACATCTGTGGAAAGACCTGAAAACCCTTCAGCAAAACAGAGTCCACAGAACATTGGTCTTGGTTTTGTTTTACTGTATCATGGTTTGGTCCGAGGAGGAGAAAATGTGTAAGAACTTTGTGTTTTAATGAAAATGTGTAAGAACTTTGTGTTTTAATAAAAATGTGTAAGAACTTTGTGTTTTAATGAAAATGTGTAAGAACTTTGTGTTTTAATAAAAATGTGTAAGAACTTTGTGTTTTAATGCTGATTATGAAACGGTTTTGTAAAACGGAAGCGACTGTGAATTCAGTTATCACCACAGACTGTAAATATTAACAGTCACTTCTGTCTCCGTCGTTCTAATGTGCCACAACTTCTCCGGTCTATGGGCAGATTCAAAATGGCCGCCGGGGCTGGAAAATGTGAAACAAACACATCTGTGCATGCGTCAGCTGCGAGAGTCCACAGCGACTAAACTAGACTGGTCCAGAACACTCAGCATTGACACACATGTGGAACGTTTGGACCATCCTGTAAAGACGTTTTCTTTGTGTTTGTCTGTTCTGTTTTGGGGTTGCACTTTTGTGTTTTTGTTTTATGTTGTGTTGTGTTTGTGTTCTTGTTGTTGTCTGTTTTGTTGTCTTCAGTAAAAAAAACGATCTCCATCTAATCTGACAGAGCTAGAGTTGTTTTGTAAAGAGGAATGGGCTGAACTTTCTGTCTCCAGATGTAAACGTTGTAGAGCCAGACCCTAAAGTCCGTCTGGATCAACTCCTGCTGCGTCAAAACAACTTTATACTTTTATACTTTTATAAAAACAATCGTGTCATTTTGTTTTCACTTCACTTTCATCTGTTTCTGAAATGTGAATTTTCAGTAAAATAATCAAAATAAAATCTATGTTTATGGTTAAATCTAATCTAATCTACAGGAATTGAGATTTTTTGATTCCTTTTCCTGGTTTTATTTTGATTTTATCGGTTCTCTTTTTTGTTACTTCGTGTTTTTGTCTCTGTTTTGTTTTGGTCTTTTGTATTTTTAACCTAGTTTTATTTATGTTCTTGTCTGGTGCACACTGGAGACTTTTGTAAATCTACTCCAAAGTGGTTTTACTGCATATGGCAAATACATGAATCTGGTCTTGGTTTGAGTTTGGAGTTCTGTATCCCAAGTTATTTTTGAGTTTTTGTTATTCAATCTTTGCGTACTTCCTGCTTTTCCAAATGTGATGCTAATAAGCTAGTATGTAAGCTAATATGCTACATTGCTAAATTTGGTCTTCGGATGCTTTCCAAAAATAGCACAGATCAATTCTTCACCAAATATTAACAGTCTCCAATTTCAGGCCCAGCTCCATTTTAAAGTTTTTCTCCAGTTTCTCAGATTTACCAAGAACTAAAAACTAAAGAGAGCGACACAGAAGCCGCTCAGAGAGAGGCCCATGTCCGGCTCTGTCCTGCACAAGTCTCAGTGTTTAGGATCACAGCCTCACTTTAGAGCCGTAATGAGAACCAGCTGAAGGCACAGGGCAGTCGGTCTGACCCCCTCCCCCATACCTCCCCCATGCCTCCCCCTGGCCTCCCCCATGTCTCCCCCATGCCTCCCCCTGGCCTCCCCCTGGCCTCCCCCATGTCTCCCCCTGGCCTTCCCCATGTCTACCCCATACCTCCCCCATACCTCCCCCATGTCTCCCCCATGTCTACCCCATACCTCCCCCATGTCTCCCCCTGGCCTCCCCCATACCTCCCCCATGTCTCCCCCATGCCTCCCCCTGGCCTCCCCCATGTCTACCCCATACCTCCCCCATGTCTCCCCCATGCCTCCCCCTGGCCTTCCCCATGTCTACCCCATACCTCCCCCATGTCTCCCCCATGTCTACCCCATACCTCCCCCATGTCTCCCCCATGTCTCCCCCATGTCTCCCCCTGGCCTCCCCCATACCTCCCCCATGTCTCCCCCATGTCTCCCCCATGCCTCCCCCTGGCCTTCCCCATGTCTACCCCATACCTCCCCCATGTCTCCCCCATGTCTACCCCATACCTCCCCCATGTCTCCCCCATGTCTCCCCCTGGCCTCCCCCATACCTCCCCCATGCCTCCCCCTGGCCTCCCCCATACCTCCCCCATGTCTCCCCCATGCCTCCCCCTGGCCTTCCCCATGTCTACCCCATACCTCCCCCATACCTCCCCCATGTCTCCCCCATGTCTACCCCATACCTCCCCCATGTCTCCCCCTGGCCTCCCCCATACCTCCCCCATGTCTCCCCCATGCCTCCCCCTGGCCTTCCCCATGTCTACCCCATACCTCCCCCATGTCTCCCCCATGTCTACCCCATACCTCCCCCATGTCTCCCCCATGTCTCCCCCTGGCCTCCCCCATGTCTCCCCCATGTCTACCCCATACCTCCCCCATGTCTCCCCCATGTCTCCCCCATGCCTCCCCCTGGCCTTCCCCATGTCTACCCCATACCTCCCCCATGTCTACCCCATACCTCCCCCATGTCTCCCCCATGTCTCCCCCTGGCCTCCCCCATGTCTCCCCCATGTCTACCCCATACCTCCCCCATGTCTCCCCCATGTCTCCCCCTGGCCTCCCCCATGTCTCCCCCTGGCCTCCCCCATGCCTCCCCCATGTCTCCCCCTGGCCTCCCCCACACTCGCCGGCAGACACATACACACAGAAAAATCCCTGTCTAGCTACTGAGAACATTACGTTACAACCATAGACTGTATTTGGATCGACAATGCTAACCCACTAGCTCAATGAGGCCAAGTAGGGAAGTGCTCAAGGACAAAGTTTTGCTCCGACTCACACTGCCTCCTGTTGACTTAGGTTTAAAACAATAACCTCCTCTAGCTCAGAAGCCGTTTGTGTCACACTCTGCATTTTAAATCAGAAGTTTAGTGCTGTCGATGATCCTGGAGTTTATGTTCTGACTTTGTTTTTGTTTCTGTAAATCCAAATATGGGCCGTATAAGGATCGACCAATCAGATGTCTTCCTTCACAGGGTAACTCCAGTTTGCCGTAGCAACCACGTTAGCGACACGCCCGCTCCATAAGACTATATACCAGAAGTGGACAGGCCGATGATGGCGTCACCGTGCGGTTAGCCGAATGCGGTTGTAGCTGATTTGGACATAAGCTAGCTGGAGCCAACTTCCTTATGTCCATATTTGGAGGTTACAGCAGATGGAGAAAGAAGTCTATTATCTTTTTTCCAAATTTGTATTGTATTGTTTTTTCCTTTATATTCACCAGTTTTAGCCTGTACTTAAGAGAAAAGACGTATTAATTACTGACTCTTAATAAAAGAAGTGAAAGAATCCCATACAGTGTATATTTGATGGAATTCAGAATTGTCAGAGTCTTGGTGTTAGCACAGCACTTCCTGTTCGACTTGAAGCCTCAAACATCTTGTAAAAATGGGAGACATCTTGGAAACCGGCCGAACAGCTTCTCACATATTTCCTGGAAGCGTTTATCAAAGAGACGACTGTGAACGGCGTCGAGTCAAAGCCAAGTTTGGATTCTTTTGACAGTTTGAGAAAGAGAATATTATAGAAACTCTGGTCCACACCTTCTTCAGAAAGACATTTACACTTCTATCCATGTAATAACCGCCTGGAGAAAAACTATCTTTCAAGTCCTGTTTGCATTGACATAGAGAGCTACCCTGGTCGTACCGCACCATGGTACTCATTTCATTTCATACTAAGGTCTGGATCTGCTCCATTGACTCCGTGAACAGGTGGGAGGGGCTAACTCCTTTTACAGATTGAAACCATTGGATCTGAGTTTACTGTGACGTATGTAATGAGCCCGAGTGAGTGAGGCATTTAGCCTAGCTTTAGCATTTAGCCTAGCTTTAGCATGTAGCCTAGCTTTAGCCATCTCCTTTGTCACTAACGGAGCCCGTGGGGAGTAGAGCCACAACATCTTTGCTTCAATGACTTTTACTAAACATTCCTCTTGCTCCGGCTTCAGTTTCTTGATATTTAGATTGAACCAGAACAGATTATTTTACTATCACATTCTACATGGACCAGAGTTTACACATGGTAAGACCAGAGTTTACACATGGTAAGACCAGAGTTTACACATGGTAAGACCAGGGTAGCATAGAGCTGTTTTGGAGAGATTATGGGATGGATTATCAATGTTTTTAGACGTAGCAAACACACAGAACCAGGTGGACAGCAGGGATACAGCAGATACAGCAGAGATACAGCAGATACAGCAGAGATACAGCAGATACAGCAGGGATACAGCAGGGATACAGCAGGGATACAGCAGG